AGTAAGAAGTGTGTTTGATCCACAACACAGACGCTACCGGTGCCCACAGGTGTGGGTTATCAGGGCTTTCACTTTTCTCAGTGGATATCTGCACAGGGAGAAAGTTAGAGAAACAAGGATTCAGTTAGACGTCACAGTTTTGCTAATCCTTAAAAATTGCATATTTGCATTTCCCCATATACAGGCATCTTGCTAAGTAACGTATCCACATGAATTTAAAATATAAATAGAAACAAACTGTAATCACTACTAACAACACTAGGCCCAGAGGATGCGGTTTAAGATTCTTTCATTCTCTCCTTCTCCCCCTGACCCCACCAGGGCACCTCGTGCTCGTGAATAAAATCTGGTGCCAATAGTCCGCCCTTTTCAGTGTTGTAGTTACAGCTTCTTTAACGTTCTGGTGGTGGAGATCTCTCGTGTTGTTTCTGGCTTTAAGACTTTTTTTGTAATGTTTTATTTATTTCTCTTTTTTTATGTTTTTAGCATATACAGTATGTTGTTTTGGGGATTTTTTTTTTCATTTTATTTATTTATTTTTTTTTTTACAAATAGTTTATTGTCAAGTTGGTTTCCATATAACACCCAGTGCTCATCCCCACGAGTGCCCCCCTCCATGCCCATCCCCCCTCCCCCCCACACCCATGAGTCCTCAGTTTGTTCCCAGCATTCAAGAGTCTCTCATGGTTTGTCTCCCTCCCTCTCCCCAACTATTTCCCCCCTTCTTCTCCCCCATGGTCCTCCGTTAAGTTCCTCCTAATCCTCCTATATGTGTAAATATATGTTATTTGTCCTTCTCTGCCTGACTTATTTCTCTCAGCATAACACCCTCAAGGTCCATCCATGTTGCTACACAGGCCAGATTTCATTCTTTCTCATTGCCATGTAGTATTCCATGGTATAGATAAACCACATCTTCTTGATCCATATGTCAGTTGATGGACACTTAGGCTCTTTCCATGTTTTAGCTATTGTTGAGAGTGCTGCTTGTTTTATTTCTTTCTGAGAGGAGAGAGAGACAGCATGAGCAGGGGAGGGCCAGAGAGAGAGGGAGACACAGAATCTGAAGCAGCTCCAGGCTCTGAGCTGTCAACACAGAGCCCATGTTTCTGGCTTTAAGAATTAGCTTTCCGCTCTAGTGTGATGAGAGTTGTGTACATTCTTAATTGGGAAATCATGACACATCTGTCCCAGCAGGGATTTTCCGGGACTGCAGACACTCGAGCTTGCCTGGGACAGTCTGCTCTCGAAGCTGCTCCTGTGAGGCCCCGTGTCCCTTGCACGTGGCCCCTGAGCAGAGGAAGCTCAGCCACAGCCCTTGCCCTTCTTCGCTTCGCAGCTTCTGTGATGACACCTGTTACTTGTACTCTTTTTGGTAATAACCATCCAACAAGTGTGAAGCCATATCTGACTGTGGATTTGATTTACATTTCCCTGAATTTCAGATAAACGACAAATAACTTTCTGCTTTACGTCCAAGTAAGGCATTGCAGTTTGCACTCCTTTCCATTAAACCTGACAACCCTAAGTGAGGCTGCCTGTGTACTTCAAGAGCAACAGGAATTCCCTGTCAAGTCTATTTGCTACGTATGCGCGCACGCACGCACAGCCCTTTGCCTTTGAAGAGAATCAACTGTAGACCAATGTAACTAACGTAATTTCTTCTAATAAGGCCGGTTCAATGATTAACAGAATTGTTCACCTATTTAAAGATATTCGATGTCAGCGACCCGGACTCTTGTCATATGTTGACTGAGAAATCTAATGTGTTCCTCACAGAATTGTATGATGTTCACGGTTACCAAACTGAGGATAATCCTTGAAAAGCGGTCAGCCTTATGCCTCACATGCAGTGGGTGCTCTGATGTAGTTATTGAATTAAAAATGATAGGTCCACTCAATGAGAGGTGCTCACAGTAGAGAGGAGGAAGGGGGTGTTCTAATCCTGCCTCAGCTTCTCACGCTCCTTAATACTGAATGAATCCCCCGCCTTCTCTACTTTCCCATCTTTAAAAATGAGGATCATTGAGGCTTCTAGAATGGAAGCTTTTCACCTTGAAGTATCTAAGCATCTGTGATTCTACAGTAATATGTGAATGTCGAGGATGGTACTTATGAATTGGTTTTAAAAATGGGGGTACTAACCTAACAAAGAGAAATATAAGAAAAAATGTGCATTCAACACAAAGTGTTATAAGCATGTATATTGAAGGTAAAAGAAAGAATATGTTATGGACAGTCCACTCCTCAAAATATATCCACGTCTTTCCTCTTTTGGGTTTTCCTGGCTTGTCCCGTTCACTGAAAGTTGACCTCATGTCTGCATCCCGTTTATTCCGCGTGACTAAGTGACGCAGGCCAACTGAACTGGAGCCCAGACTCTGCGGGTCGGAGGGGAGCTGTCCCAGGTAGGAGGGCACGCCGCCTCTCAGACGTCACAGAGAAGGTCCGGGCCTCCGCACCTGGCCCTCGGCACAGGGTCTGCCCGAGTCCAGACCTGCTGTGACCCACCCGCCTCTCCCCTGGGGCTGAGGTCTGGGGCCATCAGAACAGTTTCATTCATGCAGCCGCGGGAGGACCTGGGGGGTCAGGAAGTCCTGCTCCCTCAAGTGCCGCCCAATTTCTCTCTTCCCGGAGACAGCGGGGTCCTGATCAGAACCCTGCAAACACTACATGAGGCTACATACACTTCTGTCCTGTTCAAAATATTTCCCATCTAATGCGGAATTATGCAAATATGACCTTGTAGCACCACTTAGAGAAGAGGGGGACGCACCACAGCAGGAAGAGAAGTAGAGGAGAGGTAAACAATTGTCATCTGCTGACATACATTTCCAGGCCCTGGGAGGGAGCCGCTCCTGCCCAGGGGGCCAAGTCAGCAAGCAGAATGCAGGTACCTTTCCTGTCCCTGTAAACGCTGGCTTGACCAGAAACAGTATAGCCCAGCCAGCCGGCCCCGAAACACCAGGATCTGTAAAGAGTCCCCTGTTCTAAATAAGATCAGAGATGCGACCCCGGCCAGTCAACCTGAGCCAAATGCTCTCTCCTTATTCCTTGAGTGACCGGCTAGCCTTGTAGGGAAATCCCTGACCCCTCACCTAATCCTGCCTGTTTACTCATTGCTGCTTGTAAAGCTCTACAGACCCCCTCTCGCCAAAAATCCCTAGGGAACAATGTTCCACTGCTTGTGAGGCAGTCAGCTCCCCCATCCCTGGATTATTCTTCCTTCAAAAAAGGACATCACACTCTACAAACTAAATTGTTTTCTTTTTGTCATTTGACACAACCAACAGAATATTTGTCCAGAGGTGGGATACAGACTTCATTAAATGCTAATGAGTTGTCATGACCAAAGGTTCTCGAGACTTTAATTTGAGCAGTATTTGAAAAAAAAATGGTAAAGAGACAAACAGACTTTTGAATGCTCACAGTGTGAAAGAAGATTTGTTTTCATAAAAGAATAGAAGGTTGGGGATTTACTCCCCTAAAGTAAGATTTTATCAGTGAAAAAATAGAAAATAGAGAGAGCAGAAAGAAAAAAATTTCACCCAATTTTTCACGACCCACATGGCTCACCTTCTATATTGAGACTCTTTCCACCTGTTGTTTTCCCGTGCAGATGCCCACCCCCATTGTCACTGTCTCTTCCACTCAACACTGAAGCACAGCTGCCCTCGACACCTGCTGCGGGTCTGAATGATGGTCTGGAATATTCGTTTCGCAGAGTATTGTAGTCAACACCTCATCAACTCAGCACCACCTCAAAGCCTGCATTTTGGGACCCTTGAGCCTTGAATCCTGGTTACAGCTCAGCATGTCAGCCTTCTAGGTGTCCCAGGAGGAGGAGCTCAGGAGCGGGGTCTGGTCATGGGTGCTGAAGTCCCACCCTCCAGCCAGCCAAGTCCCCTTCCTGGCCATCCTCACTGCCCTCTCCCTCCAGGCTGTCAGGCTATCCTCAGCATAAGTAATTACCATGACTGTACCCAGGAGGCCCTGGTACACGTGGCATTGCTGGAAAGGAACCTTCATTTCATCAGAAGCCGATGCTCCCTTTATGGCTCCAAATTTCATTTCAGAAGCAGCTCTCGGCTGACCCTTCACAAGTCCCTGCCTTTACCGTCTGCGGATCTGACCTTGGGAATGGACGTCCTGTCCCACCCCCGCTCTGCACCGACCCTGGGACATGCAGGCTTCTTCCTTTGTCCACACACACACACACACACACACACACTCACACTCACACTCACACACACACACTCACAACACACACACACACACGCCCCTGATTTTCAAAAAGAGTAATGTTCCCTATAGCTTTGGACTATACGGACCCCAGAAATCATTGACCACAAACAGTCCAGTTTTAGGTGAAACAGAAACCCCAACATTGCCTGAGCAGAGTCTGTGCATCACGGACAGGCCACATGCTTCGCCCACATTTCCTGTCTATTCTGCCTGCAAGCTAATGAGGTCCCTTGGACAGACGAGGAGAAGGCGGAGAACTATCTTGCCCACGACCACACAGCTATCCTGTTACGTGAGGGCCCTGACTCTTCCCAGGCCGCCTCTGGGGGAAACGCTCCGATGCCAGCTCAGGGGCCCGCAGGCCGTTCGGGGGGGGCCGCTGCCCCGTGCTGGTCCCTGCCTTGCAAGCAGGTGCGCACCCATTGCTCTGTTAGTACCAAGTGGCCATTTGAGGCTTGAGATTTGTCCCCAGACAGACCCGGCTAACATCCCAGCTAAGTCCCCTCAGGCATGCGGCCTTGGAGGTGATTCTGAGCGGAAACAACTTCGTGCTGGGCTCCATAGTCCATGTCGAATCAAGGATTGCTATTATTAGTCTTGTTTCTGTTGCACAAAGCTCTTCCGTATTCTCAGCACCCTGACCATTGGGGGTTCTTTTTCCCCCTTTGTGGTCAGAACTGTCCCTGCCCTCTGGCCCCACCCCCCAGCGTCTCTCTCTCTCTCTCTGTCTCTCTCACCAGCAGGTGCCTCAGGGCAGCAGAGCTCAGACCCTGACCTGCCCTCTGCCAGCCACGCAGCCTGTCTCCTTCCAGCGGGCGCAGCGGGGAGGCCACCCTGGGCTTCTCGCCACCAGGTGGGCAGCAGAGCCATGCTGGGTCCCCTCGCCGTCCTGTGCGCCCTCCTGCTTCCCGGTGAGTCCTGACTCCGTCCCTGTGTGGGTGAGCAGGGTGTCCCCAGGCTCCAGCCTGCCCTGTCTCACCGCTGTCCCCCTCGCAGGTGGCGTGGCAGCACTCAGCATGGAGCAGCAGCCGGCTGTGGTCGTGGGGCACCGGGGCAGCTCGGCCATCGTGTCCTGCACAGCCAGCGCCTCGGTCAGCTACATGCACTGGTACCTCCACCAGGAGGGGGCTGCCCCCAAGAGGATCCTCAGACTGGAAATGTCCAACTCACATGTGATCAGAGACGATGTCTTGAAAGCAGACAAGGTCCATGCCAAGAAAGGCAAGGATAGCAACAGCTGTGACCTGATGCTGCGGAAGCTGGAGAAGAGTGACGAAGGCGTGTATTACTGCGCTGCCTGGGAGAGCACAGCACAGCCTTACGTGTAGCCCAGGTCCCTGAGCAAAAAGTCTCCTCTCCCAGGACACTCCAGTCCTGGACTTGCCATGGGTGCTGGGTCTCTGGGGTTTCCTGAGTCAACCAACAGTACCCTGGACACTCATGGATGCCCCCTCTACGGGTCCACAGCACATAACACAGGACACAAAGGGGCCCCTTGCTCGCAGGCTGGCACAGACCCAGGGAGCTGCCTCGTCTGGAGGCACTTTACTAAAGATGGTCCAGGCCGGAGCTCCTGAAGCATCCGGAGCAGAATCTGAGCCCCTCAGTGCAGGAGCCACCAGCACCAGGCACCAGCCACGTGTGGCTACTGAGCACTTGAAAGGGAGCCGTGCGCTAGTCCACGCTGAGATGGGCTGTGGGTGTAGCATACAAGCCATGTTCTGGAGACGATAAAAAAGATGAAATATGTTCTTAATAATTTCTATATTGGTTGCATACTAAAATACTTTTAGGATATTATTCACTAAATAAAACTAGTCCTAGAAATAAAAGTACTTGCTTCTTTCACTTGGTTTTATTGCAATTGTTACAAAATTTTAGTTTGTGTCTCAAATTGTGACTTACACTTATGTCTATTGAACACAACTGGGACAGACTGGCGATTTAAGAATCTGACCATCTCCGATGAGGAACGGGGGGATCAAATATCGTGCAAATAACTTCAAGGCTGAGAGACCCTCTAGGGATTCCCCACAAAACGGGTGCAGCTGAGGCTGGAAAACTGCTCCTGACCCGAGTCTCTGCGCTGCTGCCCCGCCCACTGCGGGTTACTGTGCAGTGAGAGAGACTCCGTGACCTGATGCCCAGGCTGCAGTGTGGCTGACTTCTCAGCTCCCTCAGCCCCCGGCAGGCCTGGTGCCCCCTCTGCTGTGGGGGAAGTGAGCTCAGGGCAGGATGTCATGTCAGCCTTTGATGAGCCCCCGGGCCTTCTGTCTTCCACTTCTCCTTGACAGTGACGCCACATGGGATTTGGGGACCAGCTTCTCCCACCTCTGTTCTCTCATCTGTAAAATGAGGTGGTTTAATGCTACAATTATGTGACTGATTTCAGTATTAAAGCAAAATTATACCAATAGGATCACCATGTTCACATCTTATAAAGTTAGTGAACTTCTTGCCAATTAGAAAGAAAGAAAGAAAGGAAAGGAAAGGAAAGGAAAGGAAAGGAAAGAAAAGAAAAGAAAAGAAAAGAAAAGAAAAGAAAGGAAAGCTACGTTACAGCTCCTCCAGCCCCAAACGGGACATCTGCTGCTCTGTGTGGGGAAGAAGATAAAGCTCTCTGAGGAAACCTCACTTGAATTAAATGCATTTTTAATGGAAAATTCAACTTTTATGTATAACTCAGTAGCATTGGTAAAAATGATTAATGGAAAGAAACTATAAATGATCTTACATAGATTGATCCCTCGATTCACCAACTCCTCCTGTGTCTTGCTGAGCTTCTGATGTTGCAGCGGAAGATTTCTGAAAGACCTAACCGACACCTGCAGCCTCTACTGAGGTCCTGGGTCAAGGCTGAGACCTCGAGCCTGCACACGAAGGGGCGGGAGGAGCGGGCAGAAACTTACCTGTGCTCTGTCGGGGATGTTCCTTCATTCGTCTCCTCATTGTCCTAATACAACCGCATCCTTTCCTCTTACTGCAGCTTCTCAGGCCCTGCTCCACAGAGGGGGACTCTGAGATCTGCCTATTACAGTTCGGTTAGAGAGAAACGAGCTAAGTAGGAAGACAGTCTCATGAGAAGTCATCCCAAGTCCATGTCCATCTGTTTTCCACATGGTTCCGTTGTGCCTTTGAGTTACAGCCAGAGAGGACAGCGGCCTTGTGCATGGAGGAAACAGTCTCTACCCCAGGGACAAACGAGTCCATGTTTGGGGTCATTTCCTCCTGCTGCCCTTCTCCTGTTGGCTAAAGCGAGCTTCGTCAAGGACACTTTGGCCACACTGAGGAAAGGTCAGCCAGCCAGAGGCCAACCAGCCCTGACTTAAGTAACGATATCTAATTGCATGATTGTTTAAAACACTGATTCTTAAAAATACTAAAAATATCTTATTGGAGTGTACAGAGCTGAGTACAGTAGGGGCTCGATCTCTGTTGAAGTGAGATTCACAATGAAAGTTACTGATGGGCTCACAGTATCTCATGGGTAAGGGCCTTTGCATAGATGGCTGCTAAAATATCCTGATGATTTGGCTCAAATCATTTGTTTCCTTCCTGAGGTGAGTGAGACATAATGATTTTGAATAATAGAAGCAACATAATAATATCACATTAATGCTGAATAAAGTCTAAGAACGTCTTAAAATCACAATTTTCATAGTTATATTATCCAATACCAACTCGTCACCCCCACCAGTGCTGTGAAAAAATCATGTCTGTTATCTCAAAGTCATCCCCTAGAAGTCACACTTCGAAACATTTCTAGGCACACCTGGAACTCTATGTTGACTCTTTTTTGGGGTGATTTTCATGTTTCAACCCAAAAATGGACTCTGGGATGCGCCCTGGATAGAGGAAAGGGCACAACTAGGAAGGGTCACTCTAAACATTGGGATCAAGATACTTTTTACATTCTCACTTCTATACGCTAATTTGTCACATAGCAAACTTGCATGGCTTTTGAATTTTATATTAAGATGTATTGTCTTAAATGTTTTATTTTTTAATTCTGAGAGAGATAGAGACAGTGTAAGAAGGGGAGGGTAAGAGAGAGCAGGAGACACAGAATCTGAAGCAGCTCCAGGCTCTGAGCTAGCTGTCAGCACAGAGCCTGACTCAGAGCTCCAATCCACGAACTGTGAGATCATGACCAGATCTGAAGTCGGATGCGTAACCTACTGAGCCACACAGGCGCCCCAAGATGCATTCAAAAAGCATTTACATGTTACTGAATATTAAAAGCCTTACATATTATTGAGCACTTGGACACTACGTGTGAAATCTGATGGTTAGAAAGACCTGAAACAGGCTCTGTCTTGATCACATTTCTCCCCTCTTCTCTAACAAGATTTGCTTCTTTTACAAAATAAAATCCTGTTTTCTCTTCTGATACCCACTGACTCCATCTGCCTATGTAGAGACCAGGTCCATTCCTGGAGAATCCAAGTAGGTACTTGGGCGGAGCGTGTCTTCTCCCCTGCATAGGACAGACACCAAGTACTACAGAGAGTGGCCCACATTCTCAGCCGTCTTATTCACACGGTGCTGTTTCTTCCTTGGAATCTTCATGTCACTTTTGTCCAGACGCTGACGCAGGAGTGAGGTGGTCCCCAGCAGACGTGCACACACATCGCACATGACCACGCTTTCCTTCAGCAGCGTGGTTTGACACTCTTATTGCCTGAAAACATGATCTGTTAGCTTTCACGGAAGGTTGCTCAAAAATCAGCCTCACATGTTCTTCACCTGGAGACTGAGAAGATAGACTTATAAGCAGGACTCGGTGTGTCCCCTCTTTGGGGACACAGATTTCTCTCCCAGGAACAGAACAAGGTTGTATATTGTGGGGCACAAAGGGTGGATTCTGTGAAAACTGTTTCCTCCCCAGGATCAACACTCCATGATTCTCCCCCCTGCTCTGTGCCCCAATCCCTAGAGAGGACGCTAATGGCATCTTTGCTCTGATTTCCACTGAATGTTGGTCAATGGAGGTTGAAGTTCAAAGAAGCATCACCATGTCCCCCGACAAAAAGAGTTTTCCTTGGGCACTAGATTTCTAAGCCCTTGGATTGAAGGTGGTGGGAGAGAAGACACAAAGTCCTCCAATGGGTTCATTGGTGTAAAAGGCAATGGCCACTTCCACTTGCACCTCTTTTTTCCTCAGCGTCAACCTCTGTCTCGAGGCGCGGGGGAGATGGCACTATGTGAGCCCCTGCGAGGATGCAGACCTCTTTCAGGGAGGGAGCCCTGAGCTCACTCTGCTCCCACTTCCCAGCCTCTTGCAGATGCTCCCACTGACTGCTTCCAGGCAGCAACCAGAGAATACGGAGGACCATCCATGCAGCCCATGGGGGTTCACCTCATAATGCCCGGGGCAAGGTAAGGAAAGGTAGACAGTCCATCTGTTGGAGCCTAAGAATGAAATCAAGCAGACAGTCAAATGAGTAGGTTATATTTGCCTTCAAATAAATAAAACAAGTTGAAGACTCAGGAGGTTTTATGCAGTTCCTTTCATTTCACTTTCCATAAAGCCGCCAAGGTCCCACCTCGAGCAGAACAGGATGTGCTTTTCTAGTTAATGAACTTAGCAGAGAGGGGCACGTAGATTATTTGTCATGCATTTGTCCTTCAGTTAAATCAGGGATTCCCAGGTATTTGTCAGTTATTAAGTAAGTCATCATCACCTAAGTTGAACAAAATAAATAACTAAAGGAGATAACTGTATAAAGAAATGATTATAGCGCTTTTGCAAACAACATTATGATGAATCCAGGTTTGTGTTCCTGATGTCCTTTAATAGAATCAACAAGTGTTCAACAGTGAAACAGTCTCAAATCTTGTTAAAAGAGACTAGAGAATTGTCTGCCACTTTCACAATGTGAAAGATAAGCCAGCTTCTCATTTTTGTTATAATTGACCTATCTTTTCTGTCCTTCCTCACTCTACTTTCTTGCCACTTAAGTGGACATATAATTGTTTCGATCACAAACTGATCATTCTTATCTACTGTAGTTCTGTTGTTTTTATATTCTTTTAACATCTGAGGTGAAGTTACAGAGTGATTACCAAAAATCTGCAGTTATATTCTGAGAGTGGTAGAATTAGCATTTGTAGCCCATGGGTCAACAGATTTCCTGAACTGCTTTTCTTTCCTTGACCAAGAAAAAGAATTCGATTCTTTATGAAAATTAATAAATATAATACAATTCTGATAAGCAGAATTGGAAATAATAGGTATTTTTTTCCTGAGCACTCCTTATGTCCTAGGCACTTCATGAAGCACTTTATATACTTCATTATCAGAGGAAAGAGGAAAGGGAATGTGATGTCCCTAGCCC